CCGAGAATACTTTGCCGTGCTGAGCAATACTCGCAGCGCTGTTACCGTAGATCGCCCCGGAGAAAATCCGTGCTGGTGCTCGGATATCCCGTGACTAATCACAGGGGCACACCTTAGGATTATGCGTTCAAGTAACTTACCCAAAACAGGCAGGAGCGTTATGGGAAGATACGTCTTGGCGTCAGTGAGTGGCTTGTCATTACCCTTGGGAATGACAATCAATCTACCGTCCTTCCATACCTGAGGGAAAAACTCAAAGGATCAGTGGAGGCGGCCGTGTTGGGAGCTAGGGCGGCAGCTAGCTAGTTGTAGCTGCCTCCATGGACCTGGGAAGCTTCGGGGAACCTCGGCCTTGAGGCCCGGGACAAATTCGAGCTCGCAGGAACCTCGTAGTACCAGTACCGACCAAAGGGGGGAGGTTGGTGCCCCGCCCCTGGGGGAACAACCCCCCGACTGGTCGGGGGAGGGACCCTCTTATACCCAGAGGCACGGTGACTGTCAGGGGAGCGTCGAACTGCCCGACTGAGGGCGTGGCAGAGCGCCCGCGCCCGTGGGAGTTGAGGGCCCGGCAGAGGCTCGAGAGGAAGCGCCCTTCGCACCCAGGCAAAAAACGGCATGGTGGTTGCCCTGGCAATGCGGACAGGGCCGCTGGTGCCGGCAGTCTCGTTAGAGGTGCCTTTCCAAGCACAAGTAGCACCAGCGGCGCTCCTTGGAGAATGATCGCCTCGCCGAGACCGGTTTACCCAGTAACTTAGGGCACAACGTCACCCGGTGATCGGATGCTCGACAATAGGAGCAGGGGGCGCCTCCCTGGCCGCTAATGCCGCTATAAGATGGTAGGGGGCAGTGCCCTCCCGCGGGAGCTCCGCTCGGTCTTAGGGGAGTTGGCGACGACTTGCCCGGTGTATTCCGCCTCTCCCTGGGCACGGCTCGGTTGGCGGCCCGTAGGTCGTCGACAGTGCCCGTTGCGTTCTAGATTTGCCGGCACTGCTCCTCCAAGAACCGCAGCAGGACCCTGAAGGGAAATACCTGACGCATAGGTACCTAACCTTGGACACACTCCGACATGCGCAGCCTAACGGCATGGTTCTATCCACCGATCCGCTAATAAAACAAAAACAAATTATTTTATTACTACGCTCTGCTACCAGAAACGTTACGGCCCTCAGTTACCCCGACAAAAGTCGACTGGGCTAGGGCCCATAGTAATCCAACTCGACGAGCAACTGAGGGGAGGGCCCTAATGGCCTATGGATAATTAATTTAAAGCGGCTGTATAAGCAAACTTACCGAGCTCCGGAGGTAGTGTCGACCGCAAGGCACCGTCAGGGGTAAGTAAATGGTATGTGTGAGTGGTGTAGGAAAGTGTGTAGTGTAACCTGACGTCACTGAGGTAATCGTTCAGCAGAACCACATGCGTTGCCCGCTCCACAAGGCGCTTACCGCTATCGGAACTCAAGTATAACGTCACTTAGCACGACTATAATCGGACGCGATCTCCACCCGGATCACAAAGTTTAGCGTTCCACACGACAAAGCAAAATTCCTTCGTACAATATTAACTACGCAAGCCACTCGTCGACGCAAATTAATGTCAATCGAAGTTAAGCTAATCACTCAAAACTCAGAGAAAGCCTCGTTGTCACGTTTATTAACGAAATAAGACAACACAAAGGAGGCCGTCGTAATGCGGCGTAACAATTCTTATGTAACTCAAGACCTCTAATCGACAAGGCCGTCGCGTCCAATCGAATATTCTAGACAAATTTCCCGACCTACCCACGTCCGTAGCGCACAAAGATTCTTCCAAACTAGCTGGGTACGGTCGACGCCCGCTCGGCTCGACCCGTCAAACCGGTTCCTCGCCCGAGACTCGAGCCTTGCAAGTTTCAAGATGCCACAATTTGGCGTAAACAGTCACTGACTCACAATTCAGTTACATAGGTACTATACTAATTGTATTAGTTACATAGGTACTATACTAATTGTATTAGTTACATAGGTACTATACTAAGTGTAGTTACAGGGTAATGGATATTCTTACACCGCCACTTTACGGTAATTTAGTTTAGTTTAATTAATTTTAGTTTTATTATGGGAACAACAACATTATACTTTCAAAAAATCTTTAGTAGTAACTACTTATACTTTTCAAATAGATAATTTATATTGTTTTATTCCTTACGCAACAAACAGTAATTTTTTAATAATAATTTCGTTTCTTTTTCGAGAAATAGCATATATAAACGACCTATAATTTTAAATTTATAAGGAAATTTTCTTACCTTTTATTATTTAAGAAAAATTCGTGATTATAACACTTAAAACTTTGACTTCACCATTATAACTAATTTAACACTGTCTGTGTGTTTTTACGCCAATGCTTTTAAATTTTTTACAATATCATGTGCAAACCTGCCATAAATTTTAATTTATTCTTCAAAATGATAGTTCTATTTAGCACCATGGTGGAATGGATATGTTTTTTTTTGGTGTTGCTTTAAATAAATGAACATGAAATACTTTCGACTTGTATAGGCATGATTTTTTAAATAATTGTGCGTTATCAACACTTTTTTAATTTACATTCAATATGATACAATATATTTTATAGACATACTATAGTACATATTTTTTATAGACTCGATTAAGTAACTAAAAAATAAAATAAATATTTAGCTGCATAATTTTAAAATTACATTAAATTTACTTTAGCGCTTATGTCAGGTATTAGTACTTGCCAATTTTATATCATAAGTATAGTAATATCGCAAACAAAATATTATAAATTGAATTAAATGTAACATGTGTGCACGAAATTACACAATAAGCACTTCGTTATGTATTTTTTTCTAATGTGTAATTTTAGGTAACCCACTCATTTCCTTGTATTATATGATGCAAAATCAATGTCCCAAAAGAATTTCTCTGTTGTAATTTTATTTCAAACAATAAATATGAATACATGATATATTTGTATAGAGATATAGAGCCTGACTTATTATTGAGACGGGTACTCCCACGGGCAAAGCTTGTGATATTCTCAAGGAACTTTCCTCATAAATCCTAGCCGTATATGATGTTTGTTTTGCATTATACAACACTTATTTTGCTTTGTTCCACGTGTGTGACAGGTATGTGATATTGTTTAGTATAATTCCACTATTATTTTATCGCCGTATTAGTAATAAGTATATCGCTTAGTAAGGTTTTTATAGTCAAGTATCAGCAAGTTAAGAGGTTAAACGTATGTGTTTAACGTTATCGCTTGCTTAAATTCTTTTTTAGTTATTTTTCTACTTCTCTTAATATATTATATATGTTGATAGTTTACTGGAAGATGTTTAAGTAAATTACGGAATTTGTTTCTCGCAAATCGTCTTTATTGTAGATATTTTATCAAAGTAACTTTAATATGTTAATTTACTATTTGTGTTCAAATATTATGCCAATGTAGCAAGTGCTCGTTATTTTTAGCTAAGTTCTTTCTCAGTAAGTTATGCGTTGAGAGTAAAAAAAAATCGTTAATTTTCTCAATTGCACGGGGTTCAATTTATATCAAATCAAATTACATTAAGATTAACCTACTGGATCATTTACTAGTAAAATCGAATTATCTTATTTTGTTACTACGCGGCTATCAAATAAGAAAATCGACGGCACAGACATGAAGATACGGCCTCATCCATATGCATTTATTTATTTCATAATTGATGGATAACTTGTTGAAAACAAATATGTTAATTTATTACCCGTTAACTAAGCCCATTACCATAATTTGATTGCTAGGAGCTTGTATTAAAAGAATCAAGATATTGAATAATGGTTCTTATTAAAATATTCAGCGAATAAAATAAAAGCATTTTCATGTATCGGTCAAGGAAATAATTTAATTTAATTTTTCAAAGGAGGGAATCGTTAATATATTCGTGTAAAGATTGATCCATATTTGTTTAATTAGCTGTAATTTATTTTATCGTACAATTATTATTTGCAACTATTGCTTAAATTGTTGAAGTTTTTGTTCAAAAATTGGAAAATATTATAACGGCTGACTTATTAACACACTGTGTAAACTTGTTGTAATCACCCGAATTGCTCCCAACCGAGTTGAAAACGTCGATTAACAACTTAGACTCATCTAGTCCGATTATCTTCCTAAATTTCTTTACTCTCATTATATTATATGTATTATAAATTTACTACCTGTAATTTCGTAATCTATGGACAATAATTGTATTACAGTGTTGAATACTGCCCAGGTCGCGGCCCTCAACGGCTTTAAATAGGCTTTTTCCACCGAAACATTGAGAATACTCCAGCGAATACCGGCCCCGTACCGACCAGTTGCAGAAAGTTCGAGTGTGGAGCTTTCTAGAAAGCTTACTTCTACTATTCGATACTAGATGGCGCGAGTGGGAGAGTTCTAGAAAGACCTTGACGCTCCTATTTCTGCTGCTTGATACCAAATGGCGCTAATAATCAACCGCCACATACCAGACGCTAGCGCAATCCTAAGAAATGCTCGTCCCGAGCATTATCGACCCCATAGTAACGCACCAGTCGATCCACATGGACGATCTTAGGAGTACCTCTTGCAATTTTCTGAAACGGCTCCGCAACGTCAAGGGCTGTCTTCTCCCATGTTGCACCAACACTGTACAATTTCAATGCACTTCTACTACGATTCTGATGTCCTTCACAGCCGCACAACTTGTACATTTGCAACACCAAGCCTTGACATCGTCACAATAATGGACCCAGTAAAACCATTCTCGGATCTTCAGTAAAGTTCGTTTAACTCCAAGATGGAACAACCGTTATGATACAACTGTAGAATACTCGGCACTTTAGCTTTAGGGACAATGTATTGTATGCGATCTAAATGAAACGACCGTACTGCTAGAGAATTGGTTTATTACTGACTCATTATTTCGAAGTGCGCGTATACATCATCCCTTCTGCATTAATTTGAGAACCTAATAACAAAAAAAAGTAATTTATAATTTCACAATTTTCTTTTTTCTTGGCCTAAGATTATAACGGCAGCGAGGGATGCTTTGTTCGGTATCGCTATGTGGCGGGGAAGGACCAGGCTTAGGTGCAACAGAAGCAGTCTCTGGTTGTTTCCCGCCATCCTGTCGATCGATGATCCCCTCTGCCGAGACACTCTGCCGATCCGCCACCACCGCCTCTCCTCTATCCGCATCTAGCATTGAAGTTGGCTCACTGCCTTCCCGTGAAGATGTCTCGACATTAGAATGCTTATTCGTGGATGCTGTGCCGTCTGGCGAATCGTTATTGTTATTATCCGGCATAGGGAGGTGCGGGGGAGATGGCATTCGGATACCGCGGGTGAAATTCTGATGCACAACCCACGTCATTCGCAGTTTTCAGGTGTCTTGTCTCTTTCCGTATATCGCAGCAGTTGGTCCACGTGTCGCTTGCAAAGACCTTGACCATCAACTGAAACCGTATACATTTGGTTACCTTCCATACTTACAATTATAGCTTTGGACCAGAATGGTTTACGGGACGTATAACAATGTGCCCAAATCTTTTCACGGTACTCGGTTAAATTGATAATGTAATACATAAAATATTCTACACATTCTTTATTTTGTTTATCAATTATAAACCAGCCCTTGAATTTTATGCCTCCTAATTTTAAGTGGGGATATAGCCCATGATGCCTTAACGATGACCACATTGTAACCAGATGGAACTGACAGACGCTGACAAACTATTTCATTACATAAAGAAGTGAAGACTCAGGAGTGAAGATCGGTTAATTGTTCGATGGCACAACGGAGAAGGAGGAATTAAATATTTTCACAAATATGGGTATATAATTTGCTCTAAAATGGGAATCTGTTTGAGTAACACAAACGTAAAGAAATAATGGGGTATTATATTGAAATAATACATAAAAAATAATTTGAATTTCACTTTTAGCATTAAGGTTCTTCTATAAAGAAAGTATCTACACATAATTGTTGAAGTAAGTAACGATTACATAAAGTAGTCATGCGATCCGAAAATTTTGTTATATAATGGAGTTAATGGAGTTATATATACAATGGAGTTATTTATGAAATCGTTAAATATTTTCTTGAAAAGAATAATTTCGTGTTCCATTCAGGACTTCTTAATGTTTTGACATTATAACTAAATGGATTGGAATCATCTGGCCTTTCCTTTCAGTCGAATTTATATGAAATTTGCTAAAAAAGTTATGAAGAAACATGTAATGAAGGCCCTTTTCCCAAGTAATTACGTAGACTGTTACTGTTTATAAAATTATTAGCGCGAATTACCCAATATTTTTATCCTTAATTTTGAGGGGAGGGGTTATTTTTATTACACATCAATTTATAAATCACCAATATTACCTCTTTATCTGATACTCGTTTACATTACTTGAAGTGATTTGAAGCATAGGGCATGTGTTATACATTCTCGCAGTCACTATAACATTTTATTTATTTCGAGTACAAATCAAAATCTAAAAGTCTATTTATACCTTTCATCTATTTTAAGCGTAAAATCACTTGTCACCCTAATCCTACAAAAAAAAAGCAATAAATTTTTATCGGAGTTAAAAAAGCCAAGTCTTCAATAAATAATAACTAAACATGGTAGAGCCACGCTGCAGCTGCGTACGATTTCCCCCTTCCTTCCCTCTACCGGGGTCCTCTAAAAGACATTTTTTTGTGTGGTGAGTGTAGAGAACCTGACATCCATTTTACTGGCAACTAGGCATACCTTCTTAGTCCTCAGGGGTGACAACGCGTCTAAATTATAATTCTGAATCAATGTAGATGTCTTAGAGCCTCAGTATTCACTTACTATCAGGTGAACTATGTACTCGCTTGTAACTCTTATTCCATAAAAAATGATCACTTTTGGAGTGGTTTGGGATTTTGATAAAATATCACGGAAATAGGTGCCTGTATCTTGCTTTAAGTTTAGTCTAACTATTTTTTAAATATATTGAAGTGGCAAGCTGAAAATATCCAAAATCTCTGATTGATTATCCTGACGGTAAGTGGCATCATGGAACTCCGCAAACAACTTCTGAACTGAGCAACAACTGAAACAGCATAAAATATTAATCAAGAAGTGTGACGGAATTTCGATTTTTTCGCGCTTATTGGTGCACTCAACTATCGACATATGCGTTATCGGTCATGTGGACGAGGGGGGTCTGAGGTATTCGACGTCCTAATGTCATAGTTAACACGGCTACCTCCAGATTCAATATTACTAATTATTAAATATTAATAATTAGTAAGTTAATATCCGCGATAAAATCCACAAATACTGATATTATTTAAATGTGTAGTATTCGCGTAAATATAAGAAATCACTATATGCGTTGTCGCCTCACAGCCTGTAACTATACGTTGCCGCCTTCTCTGTGTTTGTATACTATGTAGTCTACTATGTAGAAAAAATAAGATTTTTACTGGTATCCCAAGCTAAATGAGCTCCCACTGGCAACACCATACACCTTATGTCATTGAGAATCAGCGAGTCGCATCTTCAAATTAAAAAGTTTTAAATTGTTTTTTCAACTAAAAGTTCTGGATTTTATTATTAGCAAAAGATAAACACTTATTGAAACACTCATAAATGTTTTAGACGATTGCAATGTATGTAATTGTTGCATTTAAATAATTTGTAGGGTAGATTAATTACAGCTCGAAATGTGAAATCTATATATGAGACACATAGAAATCTAAATAATTGCCTTGTTATTTAGATATCTGTGATGAGACAGAACGAGCGTCTGTAAGTACAAAATTTTTTAAAGAACTTAATTTGTATATTGTATTTATTTATTGAAAACGTATTTTGAATATTATGTATTTAAATAACCAGTAGGGTTGATTTATAAAACGCGATATATGATATCTATGTATGAAACAGAACGAACATCTGTACCTACATACTTTCTCAACATAGTACGTATGGTTCTTATCAAAAAGGCTGATAAAAAATAGTGATTCTGTAAATGACTACATTGGACTGTTACGTGGTTTATACAATTAAAAGACTCCTTTAAAATTAGTATTACTGCTATCAGAGTTCACTAATGATTATAAAGAAAGCTCTTGAAGAAAGCCAAGATACGTTTTATTTGGTGTGGAATTTTGTCATAAAAATCTTCACAAATCTAAAAAACACATACAGAAATCTTTAAACTATTGGGACCTCTCTTCATCAGTAACAACTCACTAGCCATACAATAACCTCCAGCAGTTGTACACAACGACACTCAACGCAGTATCGAGCCAGATGCGCAATAACAACGGCTCAGTAGGGTGGGATGCGGCGCTGGAAGGCCACAGTTTCGAGTCCCACAAGAAACAAGTGTTTTGTAGCCTAGACATAATTGTGCCGGGTTTGAAACCCTTGTGCAATTACTATAAAGGGTAACTTTTTTTAAGACAAGAAAATTATTTCTAAGTTACTAAATAAAAATGTAATCGATTAAGCGTTTTTCTCTCATTGAAAACACATTTTATTCGTCCATTTCATTTGTGGACCTGATCTAGTAATTGATACTTGTATCAGTAAGTCATGATGGTTGTATCACTGACTTCTACAAATAAATAAAGCTAAAAAATATAAAATGTATAAAAATGAAAACATTAACCTTTGCATGCCTTTTCATTTTTGCATTCCTTTTATTTTCTTTAAAACGTTTTGCGTATTAAAATAAAAAGAACGCAAAGTAACATAATTTTGAGGAGCGATAAAAGAATGGCAATGGTCTCAAAGAACCATTAATCTGACGTTGCATTATGAAGCCTGGCATGATCGATAATAGAGCTGGAACATTGATGAATTATCGCCTGGGCAACACGCCATTACCCTCCTTCATACTGTAAACTCTAAAAATAAGAGTTCACGTCTAAACAATTTTTATAATCCCTCAAATATGTCATTTTTTAATATTATTCATTTATAACTTTTATGTTTAGTCATTAATTGTCCTACCGTTGCTATTGAAAAATTCGATTTGAATGCATCGGTTAATTACAGCCTATCATAATTTGTTCACTGCTAAACGGGGTATCTGCCATAGTTGCTACACCTGGCAGGCGGGTTGACAACTGCAAGTTTTTTTATTATTTTGAGTTATTTTCAAGAAGACTTTTTTACCCACCTACTGCAACACTTCCCTCTGTCGCCTCTTATGACACCCACGTGATGATATATGAGGTAGTGGATTCTCTTACGTCGTCACTGCACGGCATGTTTAAAAAAAACAACCAAAAACATTTTTTCTGTAACAATTATTGAATGTAGGGCAAACGTGTTCTCCAAATGCGAGTATTAAATTACAACAAAAGTAGACACAAACATACCATTAAATTTAAGATTTATATGTGGTAGAGCCATGCTGCAGTTATATTAGTAGTATACTTGTAGCACGAATGGGTCGGCTCGACCGGGGAAAGACTACGCTCTCACAGAATACCAGCGTAAAATAGTAGCTTAATGCTGCTGTGTTTCGTATGGTGATTGTAGAGAACTGGAGACCCTTTTTACTGGAAACGAGGCATTCAACCTAAGTCCTCATGGGTGACAACGCATCTGCATTTTGATTTGTAATCGAGGATTGATGTAGATGGCTATGGGCCGCAGCAACCACTTACCATAATGTGGACTGCATGCTCGTTTGTCACCCTATCCTATAAAATAAAAGTACGTCTGTAGGCAAAGTAATAATGCAACTTGTTAACCCAACCCCTTATCAACCCAAGTCAGATCGCATTACGAATTGCAGACATTGTTATATACTTTCATGACTTTTCAAGTTAAGAGTACAGCAACACTACTTAGAGTTAGAAATGTCATGTCACCTATATAATACCTATACTTTGAGTGAGCATTTCTTGTATTGTAAGTAATTGGTTTCTTGAAAACGGCTCTAACAATTTGGATCAACTTTTTATTTAGATAATGCGTTTCTTTCCGAGTTTAGTTAGATAGACATAACTCTGAGAAAATAATAGTTTCTTTATGAACACTGAGAAAACTTGATTGCTAAGGTACTTATTTCTTATAAATTACACTCCCCCCACCGTGTCTGTGTTTATGTTCGCACTAATCTCAGAAACTACTGTGGGGATTTTCATTCGCTATTGACCGATGAACACATTGATACACGAGAAAGTTTTTACTAAATATTTTGTGCAAATGTAATGTTCTGATAATAATTTATTAATTCAGTTTTAAAACCTCCTTAGAACTTCCAAGGCGTATGCTGCGAAAAATGTAATGATTTAAGAATATAATGCATATTGGAATTTTTTTCTCTGATGAACTC